TATGTTCTTCTCATATATTTTATGACGGAATAATACTAAACCCCTAACAAGAGGGATTGTGCCTGATATTCATATGATGAAGACATAATCTTTCAATAAGTTTAATTGAGGTCTGAAGCTGGCATGTCAGTAACTGCTAGTAGTCTGTTGTTATTTATGTATTATTGTCATTTTGTTTATTTTCTTTTGTTTCCTATTCTGACATCGGACTCGGACTTCTCTTAAACTGAGTTTACTGTGCGTACTGTTGTACGTTTGTTTTTTCTACATTGGCTAGAGGTATAGGCGGAGGATCGAGATCTCAAAAAACATGTTTAACCCCGCCGCATGTTTGCGCCTGTCCCAAGTCAGGAGCCTCTGGCCTTTGTTAGTCTTGTATCATTTTCAATTTTACTTTCTTGTGTGTAATTTGGAGTTTAGTATGACGTCCATTATCACTGAACTAGTGTACATATTTGTTTAGGGGCCAGCTGAAGGACGCCTCCGGGTGCGGGAGTTTCTCGCTGCATTGAAGACCCATTGGTGGCCTTCGGCTGTTATCTGCTCTATGGACGGGTTGTTGTCTCTTTGACACATTCCCCATTTCCATTCTCAATTTTATTGTTATGTTCAGCCTGGTTCATGTCTACAGTGGCAGCACCTTTCTGGTTCCAGACTTAAAAGAAATATATTAGGATATGTGTATTAAATGTTTTAATCAGAATTAATGTTTTGCTTATGTATATAAAATATTTTTTAAAAAGACATATTTTTTTAGACTACCTATTAAAGAAAACAAGTACTAATATCAGTTTTGATATTTTACTTTTTAAAAATGTTTTTAGGAGGCTATTTTGCCGGAGCCGGTTAAAAAGCCCACTTATCCTACACACTGCCATAAAATATACTCATGTGAACAGGAATGAAATATTTGTCACTTGATATTGAGCTACTAACAAAATCAACCAACCGACATATTATACTAACAGTATACTTTTCCTAGAAGAGAACTAGTGTAAAATGCGGTATGGGCTTTGCTCATTTTTGAAGGCCGTACGGTCACCTATAGTTGTTAATTTCTGTGTCTTTTGGTCTCTTGTGGAGAGTTGTCTCAAAGGCAATCATACCACATCTTCCTTTTTATTTTCGCATACTTTTCATTGTAAAGTACAAATGAAATCTGTAATGTCAGTGTAAGATGATGTGGTCGAATAGTTTTATTATACAAACCACCCTGAACTACTGACTTTAGTAACAGTTTAGTATTACGAGTAGCAGACAAAGACATCAGAGCCAGAATAGGAAAAGCAAGAACTGCATTTTTAAAACTAAGTCACATCTGGAAGTCAAGCAACATCAGTAAGAACACCAAAATTAGACTATATAACAGTTGTGTACTAGCAGTGCTGCTATATGGGGCTGAATGCTGGAGAATGACAGAAAAAGACATCCACAAGCTCTCCAGTTTTCACAACAGTTGCCTTAAAAAGATCTTAAGGATATTCTGGCCACGTAAGATCACCAACAAAGACCTCCATGAAACAACAGGATCCAACAGCATGGAGAACTTATTGACGCAAAAAAGATGGAGATGGATTGGCCATGTTCTAAGAAGACCAGCAGAGGACTTGACCAGAGTTGCCCTAAGATGGACACCTGAGGGGAAAAGAAAGAAAGGACGCCACAAAACAACTTGGAGAAGAACAGTTGAAGCTGAAATGAAAGAACATGGAATCAGCTGGGGCAAAATAGAAAAGAAAGCACAGAACAGAGATGAGTGGAAAGATCTAGTCCTTGCCCTATGTGCCTCCGGGCATAAAAAGGACTAGGTAGGTAGGTTTTACGAGTACAGAGATGAAATGCTTCTGATTTATAATGCAGCTATATAGATATACATCTAAAGTGCAAATATTTTGTTGTACAAGTCAGCCTGAAGTTACAAAACTACTGAAATTTTGTTGCGAAACAATATTTTCAATAAAAAGAGGACATGCTGGCAATCTAAATTAATGCGGACAAAATTTTGTAGTGATTGTGTTCAAATATTGCTGTCATCGTATTAATCAAGCCATTCTGACATAAAAATATTACTGCATAATAATGCGGCTATAAATATCTTCAAAATAAAGTGCAAATACATGTATGGTCGGTTTTGGTTGATGCTGTCAAATAATTTTGTTATACGAATCAGAATGAGATATCAAAACTACTGAAATTTTTTTGCGAGATGATATTTTGAATAAAAAGAGTTCATGCTGGCAATGAAGATTAATGGGGACAAGTTTTGTTGTCATTGTGTTGCAAGGTTGCTGTCATTTTTTATTATACAATCCATCCTGACATCAAAACATTGCTGATTTACTATGCAGCTATGTATATTTACACAATAAAGTGCAAATATGGTCAGTTTTGGTTGATGCGCTTAAATAATTTTTTTATACGAGTCAAGACAATATTTTGAAAAAAAGAGGACATGATGGCAATCGAGATTGATGGGGACAATCTTTTTTGGTCATTGTGTTGCAATGTTGCTGTCATTTGTTTTATACAATCCATTCTGACAATAAAATATTGTTGATTTACTATGCGGCTATATAGATTTACATAATAAAGTGCACATATGGCAAGTTTTAGTTGATGCTGTCGAATAATTTTGTTATACGAGTCAGCCTGGGGTATCAAAACTACTGAATTTTGTTGTGTGTCAAAGTTTTGGTATCAAAACTACTGAAATTTTGTTGAAAGACAGTATTTTGAATAACAAGAGGACATGCTGGCTATCTAGATTGATGGAGACAAATTTATGTTGTCGTTGTATTGCAAAGATGCTGTCATTTGTATTATACGATCCATCCTAACATCACAATATTACTGATTTACTATGTGGCCTTATAGATTAACATAATAAAGTGCAATTATGGTCAGTTTTGGTTGATGCGTCAAATAATTTTGTTATAAGAGTCAGCTTGAGGTATCAAAACTACTGAAAGTTTGTTGCGAGACAACATTTTGAATAAGAAGAGGACATGCTGGCAATCGAAATTGATGGAGACAAATTTTTGTTGTCATTGTGTTGCAATGTAGATGTCATTTGTATTATGCAATCCATTCTGACATAAAATAGTTGCTGGTTTACTATGCGGCTATATAAATTACCATAAAAAAGTGCAAATATGGTTAGTTTTGGTTGATGCGTTGAAATAATTTTGTTATACGAGTCAGCCTGAGGTATCAAAACTACTGAAATTTTGTTGCGAGACACATTCCCTATTTCCATTCTCAATTTTATAATAAAGTGCAAATATGGTCAGTTTTGGTTGATGTGTTCAAATATTTTTTTTGTACGTGTCAGCTTGAGGTATCAAAACTCCAGATAATATATATGTTCCTGATACAGTAAAAAAGAATGTTATATTGGAGCCAGTCTGAGATGTTAAACCTACTATTGTTTGGTGATGATTCAATTATTTGAATAAAAAAGAACATGCTTGCACTGTTGATTGGTGCAGAAAAAGAAATATTATTATACCGACCATTAACATGATTAATATCAGTAACTGTACACCAATATTGCTTTCAATTATCATGATTATTGTATATGATCTAACTACTATTTAGTGCTATCTGTATGCAAAATATTGATAAAAACTGATTTTTTATTTTATACATTAATTTACAATATTGTGATCAAAATTCGTTTTATAAAATAAATGAATAATTTTGCAGTCGCACGCTTTCTTTGAAATCAAATTGCATTATGGGTGATTTCGGATGGTGTAGATAGAATGGGGAATGGGGTATGGTGTAATGTGTAAGGTGTATGATGCAAAGGTGTATCCTGTATGGTGTAAGGCACATGGTGTATGGTGAACGGTGTAATGGTGTATGGCGTTAGTGGTAAGTTTACACCATCCAGGGACTGTACTACATGATAACTGTGTTTTGCTTGTATATGTAGATAGTGAAACAGTATTAAGCTTAAAAAAAATGCAGATGTGTTCATTATGACCAACAGTATTTTTTTAAATAACCTATGCAGCACATATATTGAATGAACACCTTCAGCTTTACTTTCACGGAAATAAAGAGAACTGCCATTCGCACAGAACATTAACTTCTGACTAAGTGTTTATTGTTCCTATAAATTATAATATTTGTCATATTTGAATCGAAATAACTAATGCTTTAATGCTAAGGCTTTCGTGTTTAAAGACATAGTTGGACCTAGAATGTTTACATTGGACACAATGTGACTTTGATGGAGAGTTGCCTCATTGGCACTCAAACCGCATTTTCTTATTCCTATATACCATATATTTGCCGTCCTTTCCACATGTCATGGGTCCAAATATTCCTTAATCTTATTCCTCGCTTATGATTGGTATACAATTTCAGTATAACGGCTAAAGAAATATGAAAACATCCTTCAAAAATATAGCTAGCATAAATAAACAGACATGAAGACAACAAGTGAGCTCTTCAAATGCCCGATGATGAAAATATCCAGTGTCCGTCCTGCAACCTATGAGTTTCAATTTTCGCGGATTTGTACATTTACCCTTTGCTCTATAACGTCATGTATCAGTGCAGGAACGTCACGTGATCAAGCCGATGACAATTAATCAATATCATTAATACAACAAAATAAATACCCCAACATTTTGTACGCGTAAATGTAGGTGTACTAACTATTTCATTTTACCTCATATTCTGAAACCAAAAAAAAACACATAAAAAATACACATTGTCGATAAAAAAGACTGATACAATTGTATGTGTTGATACTGACTTCATCAGCGGTCTTGCTTGGTTTTCTTGTTGATAAAGTCAGTATCAAAAACAAAATTTGCATTACTCTATATGTAATGTATTCTTAAGGTATTAATTTGAAATGCCAAAGCGCCACATACGAATACACACTGAATTCCTGTAATATATCAGTTATCGGATGTTTTTCTTGAAACAGTATCGTTTAAACATAATACAAACAGAAATAGTATATATACAAATATTTTACTAGCCTCTTTGTATACTTTGAATATTTTTTGGAGTACAAATGATCCCATATTCTCTATTCTGTCAATTATCAACTTGACAATGTCCGTTCGGTTGGCTTTAAGTGACGACAAGAACAGCTGTTCAATTTGTTTCTGTTATAATAAAAAAGTATTTTTTTAGTTATTGTTAAATTCAATATGCTTAGAGACGACTTGTAGATAAAACATTTGTAAGGATTTCAATTCAATAGGGGAATAGAAAATAATAACATAATATTGAATGATAACATTTACTTAATATTGCAATTTTAGTTATAGTGAGTAAATTCTTTACCTGTTTTTCTTGTTATCCATAAGGATAAGAATATGTTGTATGATATCAATGAGACAGCTCTTCACCAGAGACAAAATTGTCGTGTAAGTTATGGGAAATTGAAAATAAAGTTTTAAAATTCGATATAATAAGTATTTGACAGAAATGTAAAACGTTAGGTAGAAGTTGAATCTACGGCCCTGGAGGGTACTTGTTTGTTCAATTTTCTTTTGAATAAACAAGTACTTGAAATAGATAAAGAACCTCCTAATTTCAGAACGCTAAACGACAAACGATGAAGTTTTAGAAATTGATCACTATTATTCTATTGGAGATGGATTATGGATTTTCAATTGCGTGATATCACGATTCTGGAAGGCTCATTTTTCTCAGAATTAGTCTTAAATTAGCAAAATACAATCAGTTTTAACTTAGTACTACTAACTAAAGATAATTTTAAACCAATTGTTTTGGAGCAATAATGCTGGAAAAAGGTGGAGATACAACCTTATAAAACAAACTGTTTTCTCTGAACTTCAACATATTCAAGTGTCCAACTAGATAAATAAGCTAGTATTATTCAATGGAAGTCTGAATATAAAACAGTGTAAATCTGACAAAAATCGTAGAATGTAGAAATCTGCACTGATTATGAAATGTGTGCCTGTGACGGAATGGATTTTGATCAATACCAAAAATTATATGTAAACCTTGTTTTCCCCGTTGTGTAGTATAGATCTAGTTTATTTGGCATATCCGAACATGATCAACTAGATACTGTGCAAAATATGACATATCAATACGTTATAGTTGACTTTGATAACTACGGCAATTTAGCAATCCGTAGCTATATAATATGACAATAAAACAAAACAGTATATTTAAGTTATAAAATTCTTGTTTACAAATTTTATAATTCACAGGTTGATAGAGTAGATTGAACTATCATTGAAACCTGTAAAACGACACAACGATCATGGCATTCAGTGTATTATCTTTTCTTAAAAAATGTGACTTACACTATTTTAAACCATCAAAACATAACAACCTAAGAACAAATTTCACAAAGATTTTGATATGCTGGTTTACATTTATTTGACATAAAGTGATGTGTTTTCTTTCCTTCATTCTTTGTCCGGGTTAGGTATTATATTTTGTCACTTGTGTCTTATCTTAGGTTCAACGTTTATATAAGGTTTTAAATATAATGTCTCGTGCATGACAGATGGACAAAGAAATTTGAAATGAGTATTAGATGCAGCAGAATAAGTATAGTTTTAAGGTATAAAAGCACATTTCCCCCAAATTGTTCGTTAAGACAAGCATATGTTATACTAAATGTTAAACACAAAGAAGGTTTTATTGGCGTGTATGCCCTTTAAAAAAATACATGGATGACGTTATGTTATCAATATACTAAAATAGCTGAATGTACTCAAATATTTATAAACATGGTTAATTAATGGTTTGCTTCGCTGCGTGATTTTCAGAATGCAAAGTAATAAATATATAATTATATGACATGCTATGTAAATCATTGACATTGGCGAAAAATAACACATTCTGAATTATTTTACGGGCAGATGAATTACACATTTATACAAAAACAAATGCCATGAAAATACACATGACACATCAATCTGAAATTCAATGAATATTCAGAGCATAACTAGGAAAAAGTATTTTCCTTCTTCATCCTGTACAAATATATAGGCATTCATTTCACAAAACAAGTACAATACATTCAAGTTTTTATATCGTTGATATCAATCATGAATTCACAAACATACCTGTAATTGCGAAAGTTCGTGTCGATTTCTTGCAATGAAGATTTCTTTGTCAGCAATGTCATACCGTTTCCATTTCTCAACAAGTTTCAGTTGCTTTTTTATTGAATTTTTCAGTATTTGTGATTCAATGCTTTCATTGTTTTTATCTTTCACACCGTTTATCATGTTTCCATTGCTCATGTTGTTTTCATCTTCCACTTCCTTTATCATGTTTTCATAGCAATCTGAAATAAGTATAAGATGATATATTGTTGTGTATTGTTAAGGTCTAATACAATTTAACAAAAAAAATGGTTGTGTAACACTGAAATCTTTATCTCTTCTAAAATTATTTTGTTGTTGCAATTACTGAATGTGGCAATATAACTTTAAGGTATTTCATAGATATTCACATAGTTTAGAAATTCATTAATAACTTCCAAGGAATACTCAGTCTGCTATTTAAGGTGTTAGTAACGCACATGACCCTTCTGTTAATGTTGTTGAGAACGTCAATTTCTCACCTGGTTCTGAAAGAAAGATTTGTAGAAGCGTCTTTTCTAAGACGTAGAACACAGGAAAACAGTTGAATGAAGACATTTTGCCACATCTTGTTATATATAACAGTATGTTAGTTAAACTTATTGTGTGTTCTGTAAAAAGAATTTATTCTATTTCGAAATTTAATAAATAAACGCATACTAATTTGTTAGATTTTGACTTCTAACAAAGTGTCTGGTTTCGTTTCCAGATCTGAATTATGCATTGATAGATCAATCTAACAAAATAAGAACAAATAAGATAAAAAGTCAATCATCAAACCACTGAGTCTATAGATTGAGCAACATTTGACTTTCAATATAGTATGATTAAAAATTGTTTTACTGGTACATTGGTAGGTTTAGCATTTATTGTCCGACTCATTACATTTAGGTAGCTTACTCCAATAACAATTACTGTTGATTTTTTTCATTGTGTATGCTGAATCTAAACATGCTAAAAAGAGGATCGCTATCCTCTTTTTTTTTATCCCAAGAAGGAGTCAACAAATACGACGATGTCCATATTCTAAAAATGAACCAGTCTTTTTATAATTACAGAAAAGTGCTTCGGGCGCATAAAAACTTTAAGGTGTTTTTATTTTTATTTTTATTCACAGCACTGATTTGATACATCTGATTGTGGACTATCAGTCCCTGATGGGATGATTTTTTTCTAAAAATAACCATTACTAGTATTTCTGTTGAGATTATAATGTGCAGAATATTATCTTTTTATTTCAGTTTTAATTAAGACCAAATTACACAGAAGTTAATAGCTATAAATCACTTTACGGCCTTCTACAAGGAACAAAACTAACACCGGATAGTCAGTTAGAAAGATCCCGAAAATGACAGACTTAAAACAAATGAAACGAGAAAACTAACTGCTTCATTTGTTTTTACAACAATGAACAAATAAAAGATACACAACAACGAACGATAACCACTGAATAGCAGGCAGTAAAGTTGTTTGCTGGTACCAAAGACCTCCCCGAACCTAAGACAGATGTGTAACAGTACAATATAAGAACACACTATAGAAATCAACCAAGAAAGGAATTATATGTATCTCACCGGACCGATACAAAGCAGAAATACAACTAACAAACGGACTTGGTGGTGGTGATTTTATTATAGAAAAGAAATGAATTAATGTAAAAGATACATGTGATATCCATTTTTTTTTTTTTTTTTTTTTTTTTTCATTCGATATGACAATAAATATTGCCTCCAATGCTATAAATTAGACATGTAAAATCCAAGTTTTGTCTTGTTTCTTGAAAATATGTATAGAAATAGATCATGCAGATCTTGTCCTTATAAAATAAATATCAATCAAAATAACGAACTCTAAGTTAATTTCGAAAAGGTGCAGTCTGTGAAAGCTGACAGTCTAAAAGAGATCTCAAATGTTTCATTTGTATTTGTTATTCCAGATTTATGATTTTCACCATGATAACAATTTTTGGCTTTGGCAAATATTATCAAAGTTAACACAATTGCAAATTTCAATCAAAGGTCCTAGAGACTTATGGAACTCTTGTACATAAGAATAAATGGATTGATTGTTTGCTTGCTTGCTTAAAGTCAAGTGAAAAATAATTCAATACATGTGATGCTTGTAAATACCATTTCAAAATAAAATGGCAGTCATAATTTCCGTTAACTTGACCTGCACTAACTCATTATATTCTTTTATACTAAACATCAATGAATATACCATTGACAAATTGATCAGCATATTAGTGTGAAAACTTGTTTTCATTAATCATATTCAGTTCACTTGCGAAGGAAAAAATGGAGTACAATGCACAATAAATACTCATTTGTAACTTCTCAATAAACAAATGCTGTCTTTTACCACAGAATATCGTTATCTACAGTTGTGTTGTAACAAAATGTGTGAGAGGCTTTGGCAAATATTATCAAAGTTATCGCAATCGCAATTTTCAATAAAAGGTCCTAGAGATTCATGGAACTCTTGTACATAATAAATAATGGTTTGACTTTTTTTGTGCTTGCCTAAAGTGAGGTGTGAAATAATTCAATCATATTTAAAAGAGGATAAAAAAAATAACAATTATTGACAATGGAAAATGAAATATAAATATATTTTCAGTTTAAAGCTAACAAACTATGAATGAGTAAAACACTTCATATTCATTTTTTATCTGTATCATCGTTATTGTGCATATAACTCTATTGACATTCTGTGCATGTTCAAATTTTAGTCTCCAAATTAAGTTGTATAGTATTCAATTAAAAAGAAATTACCTTTGTAAATCTTGAATATAGCATTCTGAATATATTCATCAACTTTTGCTGTTTTGTCTTCCAGTGAATATACGTAAACCTACAGTTAAACCTAAAATTTAACTTATGATTAAGTGTATTAAGTGGGCAGTGACGGACCAACAGATTAATGGTTCATGTTATAACATGATTTCGAATGTGACTAGTTTTTAACAATCATTCACATAGTCTGAATTGTTAACTGCATGAATTATACCCCTGGTGAGTAATTAGAACGTATTAATGTATTAAAAAAGTCTGTCCAATTCAATCCAGAGTGCAGTAACATTTCTTTCGGAATCCTGTTGAATTAGCATTTGTAGGAACCACACGCACTAGAATAGTACGTCAGTATTATGAAGTATTTAGAGTAGGAACTAATAATTTTGATCGGCAACACAAATCAATGAGACATGTATAAGCAAACACCTTTTTTTTTACGTTACAAAATGAATGAATAGCAACAGGTAAAATTACAATATAAATAACATTGATAAGTTATTTAAATTATTATCAAACCTCCATTATACAATTGAAACAAATGTCACACATACTACCCTTGAATGCAAATCTGATACACAATAGTTATCAGTCTTTTCTAATTAGAACCCTACTTATTTCACCATTTTAAAAACAAACAAACAAAAGTATTTTAAAACAACTTTAGAAAAATATATATGAAATAACCATGAATTTTGTGATTCCGACGCGGTGTTTTTGTTTTAACTTCATCAACAAGATTCAAACTAAACGTACTAACATCATAAAAGTCATATTAAGTTTTTCTTGAAATTATAGCGCTTAATTCTTAGTAATGTTTCAATTTATTGAAAGCACAATCAATGTTTTAACAAATAAAACAACATAAAAAATAAGACAACAACATTACATTGACTTCCCTTTAGAACACGAATGAATCGGTTTAGCATATGAGTAATGGGATTAAAATGATTGCATCTAAATCAATAGGTGTTATCAATAAATACATTAGTTTGATTTTTGTAAAATTCTATTACCAAATTTGTATTCTCAAGATAGAGCTTTGACAGTTTGTTTGCTTCATCTTCTAACTCCGTCTGGTTATCATTAAAGCATTCCTTTTTCAATTCTTCAATAATTTCGTCTGTTTCTTTTAATTTATTCGTCTCGTCGTTGCTCCCCCTATATAAACAACACAAATGTACATGTATACGAATAAAATATGTCGATGTTTACAAAACGAAAAGTCCAATCAATTGCGCAAAAACGACAATGAATATGAGTTTTGTAGATAGACCTACATTGTTGACGCACACATATATCACTCATAACATGAATGGGGAAACATTTTTTTAAATAAAACAAATTGGATAATTTAACGTATATTTGCACATTAGTATCGCAGTAAAAGAAACGTGATTGTTTATTTCAAATTGATTTAGTTAGTGGGTCCACTTCTTGTCCAAACATAAAAAGGTTTGCTGATAATGAACTGATAATTTAGATGTCTACAAAAGCTTTTCGAACAATAAAACTTTCTGAACAGTTTGGTTTATTTGTTTTTATAGTGATTATGATTATAACATAATGTTGACTGCTGTACCCTTATTTTTGACATTATTACCTATTATGTCTGTATGTATTGTTCATACATCGTTGTCAATATAATGAAATTGTTGCGACTTTCATTCAAGTGAGATGTTTGGCTAGCTAGAAAACCAGGTTTAATCCACCTTTTTCTACGTAAGAAAATCAGGTTCCAAGTCAGGAATATGACAGTTGTTATCCATTCGTTTGATGTGCTTTAGTTTTGAATTTTCCTCGGAGTAAATTATTTTTGTGATTTTACTTTTAAATCAATACTTGATAGGTTGAGACTATCCCACGTGTCATTGAACAAATCTGCATATTCCAATATGAGTTTCATATTCCTTATCTGAAATGTAGAGACTACATCATGTGACGTTACGCGCCGTTAATGTTCATAACGTTTTTAACTTCTTTTTTATTAAATAGCGATAGCAAAAATCATTATTATGTTCAAACTTATTTCCGGTGTAAAACAAAAAGACTAATAATTAACATTTGATCCGTTTTGTTTATCAATGTGTGTGTCGTGTGTAGTTTTAAAAACCATTGGATAAGGAAATAAATGTATGCAAACTAATATTTTATGTTCAGGTAGAAAACAAGGCATTGGAATACAACATTCATTTTCCTAGGCTTCGGGAGATATGAAGATTTGCTCACCCTCTAAAAATCATATTCCACTCGGCAACAGCCCTTAAGAAATGTGAATATTCTTGTGTAAACAAATCTTCATATCTTCCTTAGGCAGGGGAATTCAATGTATAATGTCTCTGTATTCGAATGAATATTTGTACACTGAATATGCTTCGCAGTTTTAAGTAACGAACAAGGCTAATTTTTTTTAGTACTACTATTGTCCAATTCAAGATGGCAGTATACAGTTGATCTACATGTGGAGCAGATCTGTTTTCCCTGCATGAGCACCTGAGATCACCCCCAGTGTTTGCTGGGGTTCGTGTTGCCAGGCTTTATTTTTCTATGTTGTGTTTTGTGTACTATTGTTTGTCTGTCTTTTTCTTTTTTAGCCATGGCATTGTCAGTTTTTTTTTATGATTTTGACTGTCCCTCTGGTATCTTTTAGCCTTCTTTTAATCTACCTTAAAATCACAGAAAGACCGGCATTTCTTTTTTCGCTTTGAATATTGTCTTTATATAATTTTATCTGATTAGGTATGATTGTATGTATGGTTTGTGAAGCACTCTTTTTGTTTCACAAGATATCTGCGATATCATACACTTTTCCTGATTGATAGGCGAAAAATGTCTCGCATGATTATCATGAATGTTTTCTGTTTAAAGTGATTATATGAGAAATATGTGTATTTAACAAAGCTAATATGTGTGTTCATGACTTTCTGTGCTTTTATTTTATAATACTTCGAAAAAATGCATTTCTTAAATCATTAAATAGAATTACCTAGTATTGACAAAACATGCGAGAATTTTGTATAAATCTGTATTAATCCTATTATAAGGTTATAACAAAGGTTAAAGTGAACTATTCAGCAAACCTATGTTTTTGCCAATAGCAAGAAGCAAGGAAATTCGCTGCTCCTCCTGAACCCTCAATTGCAATAATGGGATTTTTGCCTTTCATTACAGTTGAAGCTGTTCTCATTGCATCAACTCCTCCTTCAATTAGTACTAAGACTATTGGCAGCTTGTCACAGGTTATTTTGGCTTCTGTTTTTCCGTCTACAAAGAGAAAGAAAAGATAATGTGCTCTTGAATTGCTAAATAGCACATTCCATCAGGGGCTAACAAAACAAGGGCATACATAATGAAACTCACTATTTAATTATAAACATGTTATCAATGATTATAGAAACATTGATAACATTGCATTTTTGTGATGATAATAATATGCGCTTTACCAAAGATTCATTTTCTACAGTACAGTAGCGGACATCTTCTCTAAACTTGGCGAATTTCAGCGAGACAAATATGTATGTTACATACAAAAGTATTTAAGTCCTTTCATAGATATAGACAAATCAGGCGATACATGTATAGTATGATTGCAATATAAACAAAAAAACAAAAAAAAAACTACTTAGAGAAAGCTAAAGATCTTGCAACACAAACCCATCAAAAAAGGTGGTGGACTCAAGTGTTCTGGAAAACTTTACAACTTATGTTTCACTAGTTGTGAGACTGAAAGTACATGATGATAAGTTATATTTAGTTAGTAGGCGCCATGCTATAGCAAATTGGAAATTGACTCTTATGTGTTAGAGCTTTTGATTTTACCATTTAATTCAGTATTTTTGTGGTTTTAATTTTTATATAACCCTAAACATTATCAAAATATAAATTTTCTACATCTTACATTTGACTGAATATGATAAAAAGACTCAAGAATCAAACAGCACATGGCTCTCAACTATGAACAAAATACATAACTTTAAATACGGGCCCCACCTTAAACACGAACTTGCAGCAATACACACCTGAAAACCATGATATATGTAAATCTAACAATAACTATAGATTAAACAATATCACAAGCGTTGTAACTAACTGTAGCATGCTACGTTGAGTTGTTTTAGCTTAACGTATAAAGAAATAATTAGAACCCACTTTATACTACCTGCGTTTTCATCGCATATACACGATAAGAAATTGTTAAAAGCTTCTCTGCATTCTAATGTAGAATTACGGGTCCTGGTCCTTGTTCTGGCACTGGTATGTTTTCCGTCGATAAAAATGAACTGTGTATGATTTGGATCTAATGTTTTTTTCTTTTTTTTTAAGTGAGAATATTTATCTTTTTCTGTATTCTTCATAGTACTCTTCTTTGAGCCTGAAATCTAATACAAAATTCGAATAGAATGACATTCAAACAATTTGCTACAATGTCTACAATAAAGGAAAAAAATTGAATATAGGAATATAGGAAAGAAACATCCGGAATGCATTAGAACACTATTTCGTTAGATTAGATTATAGTTTACTGGACTACGTATTTTGATTGAGTTAAGCCATTCAGATTGATATTTTATAGTGGGTCTTTCTATGTTGTGATGTTACACAATGTATTCCCATAAGGGTGAAGGTGTGGTACCATTAAAACGTTTAAACCCTATGCAATTGTTTGCACCTGTCCTAAGTCAGGAATCTGATGTTTAGTAGTTGTCGTTTGTTGATGTGGTTCATAAGTGTTTCTCGTTTCTCGTTTTTTATATATATTAGACCGTTGGTTTCCCGTTTGAATGGTTTTACACTAGTAATTTTTTGAGACCCTTTATAGCTTACTGTTCGGTGTGAGCCAAGGCTCCGTGTTGAAGATCGTACCTTGACTTATAATGGTTAACGTTTATAAATTGTGACTTAGATGGATAGTTGTCTACTTCGCACTCATACCACATCTTCCTTTATCTATTGAAACATAAGCTGTAGGATATCTAGTAACACATTTTGTTTGTTATCAATAAGAGCAAGTTAATGTCGATGAATTTTCTTGAAAAACGTTGGCACTACTTTTTGGAATTTTGGGTCCTCAGTGCTCTTCCACTTTATACTTGTTTTTTGCTTTTTAACTATTTTGATCTGAGCGTCACTGATGAGTCTAATGGAGACGAAACGCGCGTCTGGTGTATCAAATAATAAACCTGGTACCTTTGATAACTATTCTCTATATTTGTTTATTGAACATATTGTACATAGAGATATGTATTCAGGTATATTTGTTGGTGTGTCAGTTTTTATTTATGCCTTATAATGTTCATGTGTAAAACACATTAAATAAGAATCAACTAGGCATTTTATTTTAAGAAACGTTATATTGAATTCACTGAAAGGGAATAAGTAACAGGATACGAAACTGAATTTTTTTTTATTTGCGATTCCAAACTTGAACCAAAACCAAATCTGCAAACATGTTTTCGATTTTCAGTTATAAGAAAATATAAAAATATATATCTGTAGGTTTTTTTCTTCAACAAACCCTTTTTAACCTCAAGTAACAGGGTAAAGCATATTTTATTTTAAGGAAATGTTATCGTTCAAAAAGTTTAATTTGGATCATGTTTTTTTTTTTTACTTTTTTAGAAAAGAGTTAGAATTGCATGAAAGAGCCTTTTAAATTCGACTCAATTGTGAAATAAATCCGCAAAGAAAAAATACAATAATTATTATCAATTTCGGAATAAAAATAAACTGACCATTTGTAATTTATACAGAAACATAACAAACGATTTGTCTTTTACATTAATTTAGTGCTTATCGGAAAGGAGAAAACAGTTCTGCAGGATTTCGATAGTCTTTTCTAAATGTTCTGTCCAAATTATGAAAGAGCATATAACTTTATATCTCAACACACACATACGTATTCTAGTTTACCTTAGAAAATGCAGATTCATTTCATACCTTGTATTTCTTATAACAAATTGGAAACATCGTTTGTCTTTTATATAAACTAAATATATTAATATTCTTGATTATTATGGCCGAAATTCTAAAAATTGTGTTTTTCTGTTTCACAAAAATAACAAATTGAAAAAAAAAAAAAAAAATTTTCATTAAGAATCAGTTTCTGTATTCTGTACCACAATTTGATAAGTCTTACTGTTTTTTTATGTTTTATTTCATCTAAAACATTCTGCGATAAAAGTCCAACTATTGGAATGTAGAAATCTTTCAGTGCTATTTGTTCATTAACAGCATCCTTAATAAATTCCACCACTTCCGACTCCGTTCCACAAGTTACAATCCAGGATCCTACAAATACAAAGTATGTTATATCTTTTTTAAATTCATGCATTTCTTTACATTAGTTGTTTACCTAAGAAAAACATGAAAAAGATATTCATAAGACAGCATCATGTAAAAATTGGTTCAAGTTTACTTCCTGGATTTGGTGGGATTCTTGTCGGTCAGTCTTTGGTGTGATGCGGAGCGTTGTGCAAGCTTGTTAAGGCTTAGTAGCATGTTTTTTTATTAGTTGATATTTGCTTTGAACATGTTGAACTAGCTGTGAGTAACTGCGAGTACTCTTAGATCTGTACTAGATATCTTTTTTGTGGTTGGGATGTATAAGTACCACGCCACGTCCGATCTATGTTTTTGTTAGATGTATTTCTGATATGTATCGATCTTATGAGTTAAACCCTTTTTAACTAACTGTTATGGCTTTGTCTTATGTTGTACTTTTACACCGCTGTCCCATGTTAGGGGGAGTGTTGGCTTATTCAAACTAGTTTAACCCCACCACATTCGATATTTACTTGTCCCAAATCAGGGGCCTATGAATCAGTTGTTTTTATTTGATGCTGTATATCATATTCGTTTCTCGTTCATTATTTCGTACATAAATCGACCCGTTTGATTGCTCGTTTGATTTGTTTTACATTTGTCATTTCGAAGCTTTTTGAAGTTGGATATGCAGTATTGGTTTGTCTCATTGCTGTAGGCTGTAGGTGTACCCATATTTGTTAATTTGTAGGTCATTTTGGTCTCGTTTGGACAGTTTTCTCATCGGCAATCAAACCACATCTTCTCATTTTCATATTGTTGTCTTTTGTCTATTTTCCTTTTTGTCCTTGCGTTGTCGGTTTTTCTCTACTTATAAGTCGTGCTGACTGAACAATACTGATATTGTATGAAGAAAATATCTGAAAAAAAACTTTAACTCTTAACATATTCATGTTTTAATGTTCAAACTTTTGGGATGATGTTGAGATGCGAATTGCCGTTTCAGATTATAAATTGTCAACCAGTGTATATATATAAATAAGAGCACAACAGTGTTAAATCTGCAAATTTGCGGAAATAATTTTTTGTTCTTCCCTGCGTGGGATTCAAACTTATGCTATTTTGGATATGGAGACACCGCCTGCACAGTGTCGAGCGCCATAGACCACTCGGCCAACTAGACTAAACTAATAATTCAGCATTCAGTGGCCTAGTATTACCTTTCCTCGGCAGTAGCTTCTAGAGTTGTATCATAGTACATGATATATCAGGCACAAATATAGAATTACAAATCAGCTAATAATTTATCGTAAAGAATCGTAAGATAACGTCACATAATGTTAAGGTAATTTCATATTTGCAAATGCTGTAACATTCTTTTGACGTTTATATAGAAAGCAATCGACCATGACTTTTTCAAACTGTGTATATGATTACATTCACGTTTTTATTAGTTCATGTAAACGTAAAGCAAATTATACGGGAGCATTACTTGCATTCCTAGTAATGTGTGAATTTGATTGATACACGATAGCAAGTTTTAACTCCCACCTTAACCTCTATTCCCACCCCCGAACATAAAAAATGTTATAAATCGCCTAGCTATGTTTCAAATTATATAGACACAAAACGTGTTTATGGGTTGTGTTAAAAATGTCCATGTATATCGTTTAGAACACGTTAAAAACAAGTCTTGTTTATTATTTGTTCTCTCACTGAAATTTTTTTTTGACATTTATTTTGTATTTCATGTGTGTCCCTACCTCCCCAAGGATGTACATATAAATATAAACAGAGTATTTTTGGAATTCATTACTTGAACAATTAATTAAACAAACCTTGGTCTATATATATGTCTACACCCCAATTCCCGGTTGTGCATTTTACATTTTACATGTACGCACACATTCAAAGATTTTCCTACAAAATCGTCTCATTGCAAACAACTGTTATTTGAAATGAAATACCGTTTTAAATTCGATTGTTTCAAGTGAAAATAAACGGTCGTAGGTAATGTATATTAAGCTTTATATGACTGGATTATGTTAATTCTCTACATTATTTTGGAAGGGAAATCAAGAATTGCCATCAGTTTGAAAACGCAGTCTCATATTGTTTTTACAATGTTTGCCTAGTACTAATTGGTATGTAGTTATTTTCTTTTAAAAGCCAAATATCAGGCAACTTATCAAAATGCACGACATTGACAAGACGGGAAATGATAAACAGATAATCGATTTACCAGTACTCAAAACTGCATCAATCAAATGTCTTTTCAAATTGTGTTTGTCTTTTAAATTGAACTGATGATCTATTCCTGTTATTGATATTATGGCCTCTGGTGCAGATATCTTCCATTCCTCTGGCAATTTGTGTCGCAGAAGTTCTGTTCGGTTAATGGTGTCAGGAATCTGCTTAAACTGAAATATCATTTTTTATAAATAAAAAGAAAATCTTGAACTCTCGTACTACCATTTTGGACAAATCATAATAGTTTCTAGTAACTCAATATACAAATAAAACAGAAGGGTCAACAGGGTTAATGTCTCCTGCTGTGAATTAATCAACTTCATATGAAGTTCGACTAAGTTAAAGTTTTGTGATAGCAAAGAGAAAAATTTGGTATGCATCATATTCATTTGGTAAGTCAAATCAGTCATTAAACAAATATAATTCCATTCTCCGGAAAAACATTCCGTCTACCCAATTGTATATTTTACGATGTTTTCATATTTTAATTAAATCACGAACATTTGTAATCGATTTTGATAAAGTCACGGTCACATTCATTCATAATGGACTAATAGGTTTTATAGTTCTCTCAACTCACTATCGGGAAGATACCAGATGAGTAGCCTGATCAGTAAACTTATTGATTTGCACTGTGTTTCACTGTGCAGGTGATGTCTGCATAACAGTTGAAGCTTACCTTTTGGACACACGCACACGCACCTTTTTTGTGACATGAAGTCCCTAAGTCTGTTTGTTACTTGAATTTATTTCCTCTTAATCGATAATTTAGATTCGAACTACTGCTGTCTACTTGTATTCTATAATTGTTATGTTATAATCTATGCCAGTGTTCTACCCTTCCATCAGACAAACATTAATATCTTGAGATCAGAAGATGGTCATCTTAATTTAATGCCAAAATCAAAAAAACTTTTTTAATTGCTGAGAGACAGATTTTATATTTCCCTCCATTGACAACAATATTGTATACTTATAGACTGGGTATGTGTGGAATAGTAGGTTTATTGTCCCCCGAGGTGTATATAGTGTCCTGAGGCAAAGCCGAGGGCAATAGTTGTATCCGAGGGGACAATGAACTTACTATTCCACGAATATTCAGTCTGTAAGTGTTTAATTATATCGAAAAAGACAACAGACAATAAATGGCGGTGATAAATCTATTTTCATAATATAAAAAGCAGAAACCCAACCATAACGTTTATAAATATTCTGAAATGCTAAGGCTACGTCTTGTACTGACGTCAAGCCTAGATGCAATAGGTAAAACGCGACGTCGTTACTCCCGCGGTATTTTCAAATTCGTCCAATCGCGTAGCTGCATTGGAAATTCCCCGAAATATAATGACGCCTGCGGTCAAATAGTTTCATCGAGGTCCAATAGTTGGAAACTATTGACCGGTCCAATAGTTCAACGCTTGCAATTTGAAAAAAATAGTCAAATTATTGTGTACTTATTTCAAAGAGAAAATGATCACTGATGAATAATAAACCAATATACTATCTTAAGTGGATACATATCGAAATTAACAGGGTAGTACGGTGGAATTTGTATACATAGATAGTTATATTATTCTATTCAACTCTTAAATGCCCGAATTGATAGCAAGGAAAATTACTTAAATTTTTTTTCAACCTGTAAGTAAATCTTTAGTATGCAAGTGACAGTGATAATTTAGGAATTGTAAAGTAAATGTGAAGATATTTCAAATAGTATAGAAAATCCTTGCAGCTAATTCTAATCAAGTACTGATTATAGCGAGTTCAATAGTGTCAAGTGCTAAGTAAAAATATCACAGATAAATAATTTTGTAAAAAATGTATACGTATATAAGGATTATTTCCCCTTTATTAAAATCAGCGAAGGTTTTAATAATTTAGAAATTAAGTTGAACAAGTTTAATCTAAATTCGTTAGAGAACATTTGCTCAGGTTATGCAAGTTCATTTAATAAACAAGAATGGAAATTGTGTAGTGTGTTGATATCCTTAACGTCGTTTGTCAATGCAAGATTTAAAAAAAAAGGCTTAACTCATCGTATGTTTGTTAACAAGAAGATTAATAGCTGATATTATTTTGTTCTGCTTATTCATTTCAATGTATGAATCTTCTCCATATATGTGTCATAAAGTGTACATTTTAGGATTTCCGATGTCATTTATTAATTTTTTTTTTAAATTGTTACAAAAATCACAGGAAACCTGTGTGTAGCTTTCATGCAGCATGCTTGCTATAATTGTAACATGTGATTATTTAGAACTATGTTGACTGTCATTCATATAGTATAAAAATCAGTCGCTGGACGAAATATGAAGTTAAGGATTTCATTGATAATAAACATATTTTCCAAACTGATCTTAATCAATTCCTATCATTTCATTGATTAAAAATCTGAAGATTCTGAAAATCGTGAATTATTCCGTTACTGGAGTTGTATACCAATAATCATAATAGATGTTGTCAGTATCTTGATATATTGACAGTAAAGTGTTTCATAAGTTTCACAGACTTTCAAAAATACATTCAGATAAATATGTCAATCCATTGTCCAAAATCCTTGTCTAAATTGTTTGTCATCAGAAGAATAAATTATAAGGTGAAATCAAAAATTTTCTGAAGCATACATTTCATTATATTGGATTGGGTCGGCATATCAATTTGTAAAATCAGTCGCAAAACATGATTCATATACATGCGGGTCTATTCTGACGTAGGTTATTTTTACAGTTATATCATTATTATAAAAGGTATAAAGCAATGTCTATAGGACATTATACTTATTGTTTATAAATGCTTTGCAGATATGATTTAGTTCATTAGACTAATGTAAGTTTTATTTGTATTTTTTTAACAGGAACAGAATATCTTGATGTTATTATGATCTGGTGATGTTTCCAAATAGGAGATAGACCTCTGTACCATATACATGGTAAGATCAGTGTTTTAATGTATTCTTAGTTGATTGTATTGTTTGTGTATGACTATATAATTTTAGTTCAGTGTAATTATTGTTTGTGTCTTGTGAATAGTAGTTACCTGTATGTCAATTATAACATGCTAACATTATAGTAACAAATAGTTCATTCATAAATCTATGAATGACTAGCGTAATATTATTACAGAATGAAGCACCTAATCCTGACTTGGTTTATAATTGAGGTTAATTGAATTTATATATTAATAACATATACACTTTACTGGTATTGGTTGTATTCTTATAGAAAAGAGCCAGTTTATCGTATTTTATATATATACTTTCCGTAATATGAATTAGAGTTATATCCCTTTGTCTATTTGTATTCATTATTTTGTTAATTGTTTACTTTCAGGGTTATGTATTTATGTCGTATAAATAAACATATTTAAACTTGACGAATCCTTTTAATCCGCACAAGAACCCTGTTACATTAATATAGACAGTTAAGAGTAGCTTGTTGTTATGTAATTGATAATAAGTAATCTAAAAATATAAAAGCAAAAACTCACTAAAACTTTCCTTAATGTCGTTTTCCTCCTTAACGTCATGTACTTCTGTGAATCATCTCTGCAAACATTTAAACATTTAAGGTTATTTTTGAATACATAAGTAATGACTGGCAGAAACATTGCATGTAAAGTGTATACTTTTGTATACCAATATGTTAAAGACAACAGCTGGAACAACACCAGAAATATGAATATAACAATAGTATCAATGGTACCAGGCCTATAATTTAATACGCCAGACGCGCGTTTCGTCTTCATAAGACTTATCAGTGACGCTCAGATCAAAATATTTATAAAGCAAAACAAGTAGAAAGCTGGAGAGCATTGGGGATCCAAAATTCCAAAAAGTTGTGCCAAAAACGACTAAGGTAATCTATACCTGGGATAAGAAAATCCTTAGTATTTCGAAAAATTCATACTTTTGTAAACAGGAAATTTAAAAAAAAAATTGAACATATAATTGATATTCATGTCAAAACCGAAGTGCTGACTACTGGGCTGGCGATAACCTCGGGGACGAAACGTCCGTCAGCAGTGGCATCGACCCAGTGGTGTAAATAGTTATCAAAGGTACCAGACTTATAATTTAATACCCAAGACGCGCGTTGTGTCTATATAAGACTCATCAGTGACGCTCAGATCAAAATAGTTTTAAAGCCAAACAAGTACTAAGTTGAAGAGCATTCGGGATCCAAAATTCCAAAAAGTTGTGCCAAATACGGCTAAGGTAATCTATACCTGGTATAAGAAAATCGTCATTTCACTCATTGTTGAAGTATTTGTCAAAATTAGGAATCATTTGAAAATGATCAAGCCTTAAATTGAAATATGGCAGAATAATCCAATCAAACACATTCAATACATTATTTTGCGGGAAAACAGTCCATTGTTACTAGTTTTAGTTAAGGCTAAACAACTCGATTCTAATGAACTTCATAGAGTTTGCACCTGAGGTGTGAATATTAATTCTTAATTGTTTTTGAACTTATAATTTGTTAAAGCAGGCACATGATTCAGGAGGTCAAATGATGACAATATAATAATAATGTATCGACATGCTGACTTCTCACGATTAAAAACTACATCTTTTTGTATATTATACTCAACATAGTTAAGCTCAGAATATTTGTTAATAAATTGTTTAAGATAAAAACTTTCAAGAGCAATTCAAGAGCGCATAAAACGCTTCAAATTAATTTCTGCATTTGTATCTATTACATGTGCCTAGTAACATAATATGATTTTGCCTTCGCCTCGTAAATATCTGAGATTAAAATAACTTTCAGTTAAAAGATTGCAAATGTAGTGATATAGGGTTTCAAAACTAGACAGTCAAATAACATTAAAAAAAACATCACCAAAAACAACCGAAAAATTTCATGTCAATAAAAAAAATACGCAAAACATAATCAACTGAAAGTTTAGCATTAAACATATGCTGAAGGTTGAACAAAACTGTTTTTCTGAAAACAAAATGGAAGGAGAAAATCAGAAGAGTTATGTTGTAACTGCTCGCTGTTTGGAAATAAATTACATTTAAAAAACACCGTAATTTAAATTCGAAACGTCAGGGCAATTAACATGAAGTAATTTCAATAAATGATAGGACATTTGTTACTGACTATTTGTTTTTAAAATTTGGATGGGCGTTCTTATGATTTAATTTTTCTGTTAGATACATGTAGAAGATAACATAAACGTTTAACATTTATGTCGCTCTTTACAAAAATGAATGTGTTATACATATATTTGATAGTTCCGATATTTTTATATTTCATAATTTAAGCAATTATAGGCAATTGTATGGCCTTCAACAATGAGAAAACAATCTAAACTCTATAGTCGACTATTAAAGGCCGGGACATGAACTAGAGGCTCTAAACTCTTTATGGGGTCAATTGACAATTTTAGTCATATGACTAATTATTAGATCTTACTGTGCTGAATTTTGTTGTTTATAGTTTATCTCTATCTATTAGAATATTCAAGATGATAACCAAAAACTACAAAATTGCTTTTAAATTACCAATTATGGGGCAGCAACCCAACAATGGGTTGGCTAATGCGTCTGAAAATTTCAGGGCAGATAGATCTTGACCTTATACAAATGATTACTTCTTGTCGGATTTGTTCTAAATGCTTTAGTTTCAGAGATGTAAGCCAAGAACTGCATTTTACCGCCATGTTCTTTTTTTAGCCATGGCGGCCGTCTTGATTGATGGGCTGGGTCATCGGATACATTTTTTTAACAAGATACCCATAGAATGATTAAGGCCAAGTTTGTTTAAATTAGCCCTGTAGTTTCAGAGGAGAAGATTTTTGTAAAAGATTATAAAAATTTACGAAAAATTGTGAAAAATTGACTTTAAAGGGCAATAACTCTTTTTTGGGTCAATCGACAAATTCGATCAGGATGACTTATTTGTAGATCTTACTGTGCTGAACAATTTTGAAAAATTTCCTTCAAATTAACAATTCAGAGTCAGCAACCCAACAACGAATTGTCTGAATCGTCTGAAAATTTCAGGGCAGACAGATCTTGAACTGATGAACATTTTTACCCCATGCCATATTTGATCTTACTGCTTTGGTTTCAGAAGATATAACCGAAAAAATGCATTTTACCCAATGTTCTTTTTTAGCAATGTCGGCCATCTTGGTTGATAGGCAGGGTCATCGGATATATTTTTTAAACTAGATACCCTAAGGATGATTTAGGCCAATAATAGTTTTAGTTAGACCAGTAGTTTCAGAGGAGAAGATTTTTGTAAAAATTACGGACAACGACGGACGACGACCACGGTGATTGACGACGATGGACAACGGACGCTAAGTGATGAGAAAAGCTCACTTGATGCTTTTGGGCCAGGTGAGACAAAAAAAAACGCTTTGAATGCACTATTCTACGTGTAATTGGCATCTTTTAATTGACTGATTATCCTGAGGTAGGCTTTCGTGACAAACAAAAACCGACTTAAAGTGTTTATTGATTAAAGTTATATATGTATAAATATGGCGCTTGACTATAACATTTTTTTTTTCTTTTCATGTTCTGACATTTAAAAAAAAGTTGTCCCAAAGCGTCAAAAATTAACAGTTGAGCTCTGTAATATGCTGTTAGTTTTATCAAAAGTTAACCAGAGATTTGTCGAATAGCCAGAAACGCAGGACCGGGCAGGTTTTTATATACATTCTTTGCTAGCAAAATTTAGCAATTTGAACATTTCTTTTGAAAAGAAACATAATTCATGAAGAGCATTTCTGGCCCACATTATGTGCACTACACACTGCTCAGAGTCTGAAAAGACCATATGGTGTGCTCGACCACTAAGTGGAACACAGATATTACTTAATAAGACTCGACGTTATCTCAACAGTAGTTAACTGTACTGTTCTCGACATTGGTCTCGTACTTGATAATTTTAGTAAAGTCTGAAACGGTTTTGACAAATGCTCGACAAATCTCGACTCATTCTCGACATGTCTCGACCTGTCTTGACCAGTCTGAATCAGCCCATTCAAATCAACTAGAATTTTCAGTTCGGAGTTAATTCAGACAGTCACCTTTAAATTGTTTTATAATTTTTCTAAATAGACTTTCATATTCAAGTTTATTTGGAAAAGTTATCAAAACATTTAAACATTGTTAAAAGGGACTGTCTATATCTAGTATGAACTGAAAATTCTAGATTTTTGCCTATTAATCAAATCCTTAAATTTATAAAGTTTATCCAAGTTGATTTGAAAAACTTATAGAAATAAATAAAGATGACTATTTGAATTTAATAAAAATTGAAAATTCTAGCTTTTTTACCTATTAATTTAATCGAACCAAACTACCAAATAACCTGGAATTTTGTTAGATCAATATATAATTGAGTTAGATGGACTAATTCAGACCAGTCTAGACTAAATTTAAATGTGAAGACTGGTAAATAGGCCGAAACTGAGTCAAGATTGGTCGAGACAGGTCGAGACAGTTCGAGACTTAGTAAAGACTGGTCGAGACAGTTCGAGACTGAGCCGAGAATGTTCGAGCATTTGTCGAAACCGATTCAGACTATACAAAGATTATCAACTACTAAAATAGACTTATTAAGTTAAGTCGATTACAGTTAAGTGCAGTTAAGAACAGTAGAGATTATGTCGAGTCTTATTAAGTAAAATCAGTGTTCGACTTTGCTGGTCGAGCACAAATTATGGTCTTTTCAGACTCTGAGCTGTTTGTAGTGTAAAAAAGAGGGACGAAAGATACCAGAGGGAGAGTCAAACTCATAGATCGAAAATAAATTGACAGCGTCATGGCTAAAAAAGAAAAAAACAAACAGACAGACAAATAAAACATGTAAAAGTACACAAGACACAACATAGAACACTAAATACTAAGCAACACGAACCCCACCAACAACTGGGGTGATCCCAGGTGCTCATGAAGGGTAAGCAGATCCTGCTCCACATGTGACACCCGTTGTATTGCTCATGTTATTACAAATCCGGTAAATAGTTATAAATTGCAATTCTCATTCTTCTAGCACTTTGAACATTGGACTACCTGTTCCTTAGGGTATGACCATTAAAGATTTTTACCACTGACATAATATAAAAAAATAATTGTCGAAAGGTTTGTTAATAAAAAAAAATACCAGAAATAAGGTATCAACTGTTAAAGGCAAAATTGAACTTTTTGACAAACTTTTTTAAGTCCAATCAGGACATACAAGTCGTCATTTTTTTATACATTCTCAGTGTTGAAAGTTAAAAGTATGATTGTTTCTAGAAAATTTCAATCCAGAGAAGTGCGTCGTACCCACTCAATTGTATAAGTAACATTTATAATGTACTACACAATCTACCCATTTACAAGACGCACTACGTCTGAGTTCAAAGTTTTACCTACAAGGCATATTTATGACTTAACGGTAGGACAAGTCTTGTAATACGATAAAATTAGGCATTCAATCATCTAATACGCCTTTTATTCATTAACATATGATAATTTAAATCGTTTCACAAAAGGGTTCCGTGATTGCAAACTAGTTCATTATGTGCCTGGTAATCTTTTGTCACCAATATCTACTACATGTACCTTACCTGATCGTTTCTTCTTGTGTCCTTTTGTGATGAATTTGTTTCGCCATTTCCTGATATCAAAAACAAATGAAAATTATTCTTCCCGCCAATATTTAACTTATAAGTCTTTATTTCTGTAATTTAGTTACTGCTGTCATTTATGATACTGAATTGATTTGTCTTTTGTATAAACACTATTCAGCCGGCGATTACATTTCTTCTTTATTTCAAAACGTTTCATGATATAGTTAATACGGCAACTAGTTTATATAAACCAAAAAAATATTCTGACAAATATCAGAAACATAATGGACAACACCAGACACACTAGACAACTGACCAATAAACACAACACGAAAACAGTATCTTAAACAATCAACAGCATGGTTTTAACTAAATAAAACTCAAGAAAACACAAAGTATAAGTAAGTTCACGCCATTCATTAAAATTGCTTTTAATCATGACGAAAAGCCTAACCATACTTATATCCAATAGCTGACTTACATCTATGAATGCTAAAAAATTAATGGTGTGTACATTAAATCAATCACAAAAAATACATAAAAACCCCACGTTAATCAAAAAGCATAAAAAATGATTTTAATGAATTTTTTGGAAATACGTTTCCTATGATAACTGTCAAATAGAAAAGTAAAGAAATTCATTATACAAAAAACCATGAAACTTTATGCTATCTCTTGTCAAAATCTAGCGAAATCAATAGGTTGTTTAATGTATAAAAGTTAGTTAATGAACCAAACTGAATTGATAAAGAAACGTTAAATTTCTTGTTTGTATTCCTGAAAGAAGTTAAGTCAATTGTGCTGTATCGCTTGAGTGGGAAAACATGATATTAAAACAATTTGTGCGAAGGTAGTATTATCTGCCTATCGATTGAACCATAGCAACACAATTCAAAATAAGAAACTTGATACGTTTACACTGATGCAAATATTGATTAATAAAGTCTTACGGAAATAATTAAAATAAAGCTCAAAACATAAAGAACGATGTTTGCGTCTGGTCCTTTCAAGTTATAAAGAATGCAGCAGCTAATCGCGTTCATTATAAACACTTTCCATCTATTTTTAATTTTCATTTGTCGTACTATTCAGAAACGCTTTTATGCACTTTTTGATTGATATAGAATATGGTATATCAAAATGATTTTCAAATTTCATATTTAACACTTACACTCGATGTGCAAAAATAGCTTTATAAACCGAGATTGTTAGAAGCCTTAAGTTTGAATTAGGTTTTAAATAAATGTTAAAATCATTTTCAAAACCATGGAGGATAATTACTTTAATTTGCCATTTTAAATGCAATCGGAGTAAATAATTTGAAAGTGTTTTTAATTCTTTATAAGCTTGATCCATAAATTGTGAGAAGCCTGTCTGTTGGTTTTTTTACGTCCCTCATTTAACGAAAAAAGATAAGCTGCAATCAAATGTGTCAATTCATATAACTTATTTATTGACGAATATAGTTTTTGCTGTAGATATCGAACTTAAAAGATAGCTTTTCTATTTTGTCTAGAGTCTAGAGAAGTTCATTTGAGACGTGATTATATATATATATATAATAAAAACTATAACATAATTTTCCATACGTTTCGGCTATTACGGCCTTCTTAATTGGAATAAATTACAACATTGAAACAACAATTACATCGCTTGGATACATTTCGTTATAATAACTACTTTGACGTTTATTTGCCGCGTATTTTTCTTTTTTTTTTTTTTTTTATAAATATTTTCACTATCTTTCATACATTGTGTTGAGTCCATCAGGCTCTAAAGTTTTTAATTTTTTTTATCCAAAAAGCTTCTTTAGTTTTTCTGTACGTTTCTGTTCCAAATACTCTTTCTATGGCGGTAACTTTTAAATTTTTCATCGAATGATTATGCTGAATGAAGTGGTTTGCTACCGGATCGACTGTTTTGTTTGTTCGTATTTTTGAAAAGTTCAAAAGCATCCGTTGATAAAGTGTATCACCTGTTTGTCCTACATATATAAGTTTTTCTCATTTTGTACAGTTAATTTAGCTTACGAACGCACAAAAAACACTGTGTCGAAAGGTTTTAAGTTTGTGCCGACTAGAAGAAAAGTAGACATGGTAAACTTATAGCCGATTTGAAAATATGGAAAAGAAGAATGCGTATCCGCGAATATTTTTTTGAAGCAAACGAGGAAAAAGAAAATTGTCAAAACGAATATTCTAAATTCAAAAAATCAAGTAATTTCACACCCTCACCCGGAAGAGAACGATGGTTGGATGAATATATTCAGACCGTAAAAGATGAAATTTTAAGTAGATAGAGCCGAAAATTTAAAATGAATATTACTACAGAAGAAGAAAAGGCAATGCGAGAACTGTTATATGATACAAGCATCGTGATACGACCGAGCGATAAATCCTCCGGCGTTGTTATAAGGAACACAGAAGACTATAAACTAGAAGTCGAAAAAGAATTAAATAACAACGATACGTACTTACAAAGCCATAGATAAAGATCTCACACAGAAAAATGAAAATAAAGTAAAGAAACTTGTAGAAAATGTATGTAAAAGAGAACTAATAGACAAAGACATGAAAAAATATCTACTACCAAAAGGAACATGTCCTGGAAAAGTACAAACAAATCCAAAATTGCACACAAAAAATCATCCGGTAAAAACAATTATTAATGGGCGGAACCATCCGACAGAAAAGATCGCGGAAATAGTGGAAAACGAACTTTCGGAAAATGTTTGAAACTTGCCCACCTATATTAAAGACACAACAGATTTTTTTAACAAACTAAATGCAATACAACAGCCATTACCAGACAACGCAATAATGTTTTGTTTAGATGTAACTAAATTATATCCAAGTGTACCACGAAAAGAAGCACGAGAAGCATTAAAACAGCATTAGAAAATCGATCTGATATATCAATCCCAACTGAAGATGTTCTTAAAATGATGGACTTAGTCATTGAAAATAATAATTTTAGCTTTAACGGAAAGCACTTTTTACAAACAGAAGGAACAGCTATTGGTTCCCATCTAGACATGAATTATGCTTGCACCTACCTCGGACAATGGGAGGAAAATTTATTTTAAAACAGCAATTACACCCGTTTTCATATTGGAGATATGTTGATGACATCTGGGGAATATGGGAACATGGTTTAGATGAATTAAAAAAATTTCACGAATTGTCCAATAATTTATATCCGCGAATTAAAACAGAAATGCGTTACTCAACTGAAAAAATCGAATTTCTTGATATGTTTGTAAACATAGAAAACGGACAACTTAAAACAGATTTTTTCACAAAATCGACAGATAAACACCAGTACTTACATGTTTCGTCAAGCCACCCAAATTCTGTAAAAAAATGCTATACCATATGGACTCGGTATTCGTGTCAAAAGAATTTGCTCAACAGAAGAAAATTACAAAATAAGAAGAGAAGAAATAAAAACGCACCTAAAAAAAGTGGATACAATAACTCGTAAACTGAAGTTTTATTAATAAAAGTCGACATTCTAAACCGAGACGATCTATTACAGTACAAACCAAAGAAAGAGAACAACAGAGTACCCTTGGTGATTACCTTTTCCAAAGCGCTTCCAAATATACATTCAATTCTCAGAAAAAAATCTTAAAATTCTCCATCAATCTAACAGGCTAAAGAATATATTCCCCGATCCGCCTATTGTAGAATTTAAACGCGACAACAACATAAAAGATATCTTAGTACACAAGAAGCACAATTTACAATTTTATAAACAAACTAATGGCTGTGGACCATGCGGTAAAAATTGTGCATTATGCTCACACATAAATGAAACCAAGGTATTTTGTGACAACACCGGGAAAGAATATACCATTCAGGGACAAATAAACTGTAAAACCGTGGGCGTAGTATATGCAATTAACTGTACAAAATACGAAAAACTTATATATGTAGGACAAACAGGTGATTCACTTTATCAATGGATGCTATTGAACTTTTTCAAAAATACGAACAAACAAAATAGACGATCCGGTAGCAAACCACTTCATTCAGCATAATCATTCGATGAAAAATTTAAAAGTTACCGCCATAGAAAGAGTATTTGGAACAGAAATTTACAGAAAAACTAAAGAAGCCTTTTGGATAAAAAAAAATAAAAACTGTCGAAAAAGAATTAAATAACAACGATACGTACTTACAAAGCCATAGATAAAGATCTCACACAGAAAAATGAAAATAAAATAAAGAAACTTGTAGAAAATGTATGTAAAAGAGAAATAATAGACAAAGACATGAAAAAATATCTACTACCGAAAGGAACATGTCCTGGAAAAGTACAAGCAAATCCAAAATTGCACAAAAAAAATCATCCGGTAAAAACAATTATTAATGGGCGGAACTATCCGACAGAAAAGATCGCGGAAATAGAGGAAAACGAACTTTCGGAAAATGTTCGAAAATTGCCCACCTATATTAAAGACACAACAGATTTTTTTAACAAACTAAATGCAATCCAACAGCCATTACCAGACAACGCAATAATGTTTTGTTTAGATGTAACTAAATTATATCCAAGTGTACAACGAAAAGAAGCACGAGAAGCATTTAAAACAGCATTAGAAAATCGATCTGATATATCAATCCCAACTGAAGATGTTCTTAAAATGATGGACTTAGTCATTGAAAATAATAATTTTAGCTTTAACGGAAAGCACTTTTTACAAACAGAAGGAACAGCTATTGGTTCCCATCTAGGCATAAATTATGCTTGCACCTACCTCGGACAATGGGAGGAAAATTTATTTTAAAACAGCAATTACACCCGTTTTCATATTGGAGATATGTTGATGACATCTGGGGAATATGGGAACATGGTTTAGATGAATTAAAAAAATTTCACGAATTGTCCAATAATTTATATCCGCGAATTAAAACAGAAATGCGTTACTCAACTGAAAAAATAGAATTTCTTGATATGTTTGTAAACATAGAAAACGGACAACTTAAAACAGATTTTTTTCACAAAATCGACAGATAAACACCAGTACTTACATGTTTCGTCA